TAGAGTTTCCTTCCACCACATCTGCCCTTGTTCCACTTGTGAAGCCCCCGTCTGATTGTACACTGGCATACGAGATCCTTTTTCAGCTTAACTCCCTTGTACACATGCAAAAAATCAGTCTTGCTGCAGTTGATAATGAACTGTTTGAGTTTCTTAGCGGATTGCATTTTGACACGGCCTTGGCAGAATTAAAAAGCATGCATACGTTGCAATCAGTTTGCTACGAACCAAAGGCGTTTGTCAAGAACCGGTTGCAACTTTTGGGAAAAAGTTGTAACGGCGTTCCATTGTCCACTCATAAGAAGTCTGGTAAACAGAATATGATGAGTGTTCATAGAGCCTATGTAACCCCATCAAAGATTTATTGCCTGGGTCCTGAGCTTGAGACTTCCAATTACATTGTTAAAAATTATGCTTCTTATGCTTCAGATTTCCTGAGAGTAACTTTTGTAGAAGAAGATTGGGGCAAGCTTTCACCTGGTGCTGTTTCTACAAGCATTTCACAAGGAATCTTCGCAAAGCCTTACCGGACTGAGATACATGGTCGCATATTGTCTGTTCTCCGAGACGGAGTCACTATTGGAGCAAAACATTTTGTTTTTCTTGCTTTCTCGGCGAGTCAGCTACGTTCAAATTCTGTTTGGATGTTTGCTTCTAATGAGCATGTCAAAGCAGAGGATATCAGAGAATGGATGGGATGCTTCACCAAGATTCGAAGTGTCTCAAAATGTGCAGCAAGGATGGGTCAATTGTTCAGCACCTCAACGCAAACAGTGGAGGTTCAGCCACAGCATGTTGAGGTCATTCCTGATATTGAAGTGACCTGTGATGGTGTTGAGTATTGCTTCTCAGATGGCATTGGTAAGATTTCCCATACTTTCGCAAAGCAAGTTGCCCAGAGCTGTGGGTTGGATCATATTCCATCAGCATTTCAAATCCGTTATGGTGGGTATAAGGGTGTAATAGTAGTTGACAAGAGTTCTTTCCACAAGCTATCTCTACGCCGCAGCATGCTTAAATTTGATTCAAAGAATATGATGCTTAACATAACCAAGTGGAGTGATGCCATGACTTGCTACTTGAACCGTGAGATTGTTGTCCTCCTATCAACCCTTGGGATAGCCGATGAAGTTTTTGAGGAAATGCAAGAGGGGCATCTGCTTCGTTTGGGTAGAATGCTGACAAACCGAGAAGCAGCGCTAGAAGTCTTGGATGGCATGGGTGGTGGTGAGATTAAGAGAGTCCTGGTGAAAATGCTTCTTCAAGGCTATGAGCCTAATGTGGAGCCTTACCTCTCAACGATGCTTCAATCACATTATGAAAATCAGCTCTCTGACCTAAAAACCAGGTGCCGTATATCTGTACCCATGGGTCGAATTGTGGTGGGGTGCTTGGATGAAACAGGGATTTTGAACTACGGGCAAGTTTATGCTCGTTTGACTTTGACCAAGACCGAACTGCGGCTTGGGGAACAGAGTTTCTTTCATAGAGTGGATGATACAACTGCGATAGTGAAAGGCAGGGTTGTTGTGACAAAAAACCCTTGTCTTCATCCTGGAGATGTCCGGGTACTAGAGGCTGTCTATGAGGTCGTACTAGAAGAGAAGGGCCTTGTGGATTGCATTGTTTTCCCTCAGAAAGGAGATAGGTGGGAATACTCTTTAACCACAATTTTTAGGACATGCCATTAAAGAAACTCTGTAACTTGTGAAAATCTCATTTGCAGGCCTCATCCAAATGAATGCTCTGGTGGAGATCTTGATGGAGACATATACTTCATAAGCTGGGACAAAAATCTCATTCCAAATCGGATTGAGGAGCCCATGGACTACACCGGAAGAAGCCAGCGAATAATGGACCATGACGTAACCATGGAGGTATAGTCCATTTATTTTCATCTGAACAAAGAACTGTGTCAGCCTGATACTTCTGTTAATCCATCTTTTCTTGGTATTTTTTTGCAGGAAATTCAGAGGTTCTTCGTTGATTACATGATCAATGACACGCTTGGGGCCATCTCCACTGCACATCTGGTACATGCAGACCGTGAACCACAAAAAGCTCTC